GTAGCTAGAAGCTGTGAATGCAGACATGCTAAATACCAAGCTGTCAGGACTTGGTGGCTTTTTTTTTTTTTTTTTTTGCTGGCATTTTCTGAGCCTGTTTCTATGCCAGGAACCATTCTAGAAGCTTTATATGAATTATCTCTAATTCATCATAAGCTAGAAGGTAAATACTTCCACTTTAACCTTTAAGAAATAGGCTCAGATCAGGTCGCACAGCTGGTAAACAGCAAAGTAGAGATCTGTACTTGTGTTGTCTTACTTCAGAGCTGGTTCCTTCTGTAACACCCAACTGCCTAAAGCTGTGATTCTCATAGATGTGTGAGCACCTTAGGAAGAGCATAGCAGACTCTAGGGACTTGTAGGGATGCATATAGTTTATAAAGCTTATTTGGACAGTAAAAAGCAAAACCTATGGTTTTCCACAGAAAGTTACAAAGTAAAATTCAGCCAAATCCTCTTAGTTCATGGTCTGGTGCTATTCACTCAGTGGGTGTTCATGAAGAACAGACAGACCAGGCTGGTAGGCAGTGAGCTGCAAGGAAAGTTTCAGGAAAGAGGGAGCAAGCTCTCCCCAGGAAATCTGGCAGTAGGACTTTAATTTCCTCTGTGAACAGAGACGAGTGCACCTGGGAACATGCACACCCTCCATACCAGGCCCTGATCTCTGCCCCAAGTCCTTGTGAGAGAGGCAGGAGGTCCTAGGGTCCTAGGTGCTCCTACCCATCCCCTCACCTGAAGAGCCGCAGACACATCTTCTCCTGGGGAAATTCCTTCGGTCCCTCCACACTGTCATCATGGCTCTCGGTCTCCAGGTAGACATCCAACAGCACACACAGGCGCTGCAGCTGGTTGGTTAAGAGCTGATGGCCAGGCCGAGGGCCACACAGCTCCTTGTAGCACACATTGACTTCGCTCTCCATGGCCTACAGTTGAGAAAGCCAGACACTCAGCATGACTTTCAGACTGCTGGGTCTGATGGCTCCACAAGAACTGCAGCTGGGCCTCTGCAGGAGCTGGGAAACACCATATCAAGCTGGACTGAACTGTCCTGAGGCTCCCTCTCAGGACAATGGGGTCTTCTTAAATCTAATCCATGACTTTCTCTGCCTTGCACATCCACAGGCAAGAAAATGGAGATGTGCAGACAAGGAATCTCAAGATAAGATTCAAGTCAGAGGTGTTAGGGTTAAAAACATGCTACGGAATCAACTCAACAGGCATAACAAAAATTAACAGCTGCAGTGATCTCACACATCATCTCATTCCAGCACTTCCATGCTTCCGAGTTAATTCACATTTCCACAGAAGCCCAAGACAACATTTCAAGGCAGTATTTATATTATCCCTATTTTATAATGGGGTGAAACTTATGGACCCCAAGTGGTTGAGATGCATCAAGGCTCTTTCCTGTACTACGCCATGCAGCCTCCAGCAAATTCTACAAATCCTGGCAGGCCCCTCTGCCCAGGGAATTACACCAGTGCCCAAGCCCTCAGCTGCAACAGGTTCTGCCACTATCCACCTTCCCAAAGAGGCTCTCTCTGCTCCTCCTATGCCTAGCAGGGCCTTACCCGAATATTGTCATCATTACTGTTGGTTTTCTCTCCTTTCCAGTTCAGACAGAGCTGGAAGATGGGTGGGATGGAGGAGTAGCCAGGGTTCAGCACCACGGCAGCCTGGAGTTTGGCTGGGAAGGGACGGGAAAGGAGGAAAAATCAGTTCCGAGACCCACCTTGCCAGCCACGCACCCTCTCTGATTGGACCCCTGAGACTAGTTGTGATGTTCAAGTGCTGCAGAGCACATTCTGGTACTAACCTGACTTCTAGAATCTCTGAAGTGAAACTGCCAGGTTGCAGACCTAGAGGTCCTGTGACTCTGGTCCCTCTAAGGAGGCAGAGGTGTGTTGTCTCCCTAGAGTTTGCCCAAGAGTTCTATTTGCTCCTTTGATAGACACTTGTTTGAACTAGCATTTCTTTATTTGCCAGCAAGTTACAGATTTTCCCATTTGAAAGCTTACTATCTGTTTTTTTCTTTTCAACATATTGTACATTAGCCATTACATCAAATATATTTTCTCTATTCTGTTCCTTTTATTTTTAGATATTTTGTTATGTGAAATTTATTAAAAGCCAACATTTACTGAGTACTTACTATATTTCCAAGCACTGTGCTAAGACTTATGCATTTTATTTCATCCTAACAATGATTCCATGAGATGGGTACCATTATTATTATCCTCATTTCACATATGAAGAAACTGAGCCTCTGACAGAAAATTTCTTAAGATTGAACAGTTACAATGAAGCAGTGCTGAGTTTAACTAGAGCTGCTTGATGTCAAAGCTGCGCTCATAATCATTAAATGAAATATTTGTCATTTTTTAACATATTTTTCCTTTGGTGACAGTTTTTGTCTTTTTCAATAGTATGACATTTATCCTCACCACTAATGGGCTAAGTATGCCATTCTTTTTCACTATTTATGGGCAGGGGGTCGGTGGGGGCGGGGAGAAACTCTGATCCACCAGTAATTCAAATAACAGCAGACAAGAGAATATAGGTTAAGACAATTCTTTCCCAACACTCACAACAACATTTATTATACAGTAATTCCTTTATCCACTATTGTGTTGCTTCTGTCATAACAGTCTGCATATATTTTTGGATTTATTTCCGTTCATCAATTTTTTGCTTTTATCCATACTATGTAAAGTTTTCAAACCAATCTACTGTAAAATGACTTAAGGCTTATATATACATATATGGCTTATATATATTTGGAATTAGTACCCAGTTATTTAAATTTCACTCTTCATTTTTCAAATTCTGCAATGTGTCTAATGAAAATTTTAATTATCATATTCATTCTATGTGTGACTCTAAAATACCCCATCTTTCTAAGCTTTCACTTGCTCAACCAGGAAGAAGTGATGTCTTCCAATTATTTCCCTTGGGGCTTTACAAATTTCTTGGACTGCATATTTTGTGCCCTTTCAAAACAGTACTCTATGGTGGTTTAGGGATAAGGTAAAAAAATGTTTATAAAGGGGAGAGGATGGGAAGCAAATGCATAAATTCCAAACAGTAGTCGCATATCATGACAGACAGAATGAAATGGGATTGGGGGCCTCAACTGTATCTGAAAAATTTAATTTCCTCACAATATTTTTAAAAACACATGAAGAAAAAGAGAAGAAATCGGGATAGAAAAACTCTAATATCAAAGAGTGCACCCTTTCCTTACATTTCTCACACTGTCTTAAAACTACAGACAATTGCTTTGGCTCTGTGGCCACATCACCAGGCCCTGGGGATCAGATCCTGTGGTCATTGCCAGGCCTGTCGAGGTTGGGGCAAGACAATAGCACCACAGGGAGCATGTGGGTGGCTCCAGCAGGAAGTCCTGGTGAATCAGATGTCAGGACAGCTGTGAGGAATCACAGCTTTCGATGATTCCAAAATGAATGCAGCAACTACAGAAAGGAAGGAAGGTTGTGCCACCTTGCGCTTCACAACCTAAGAGGGACATGTCAGCCCTTCTGTGAAGTGGGGGATGAACAGGTGTCTGATTCTAGAGAGCAGTAAAGCCAAGGGCTAAGAGCTCAGGCTCAGAGGTCAGACTGGGTTTGTGGCTAAGACTTAATTTCCTCATCTGTAAAATGGGAATATTACCACCTCCAGGATTGTCATGAGGATTAAATGAGATAAAGCATGTATGTGACTGTGTTGCAGAACAAGTCCTCGCTGAACAGTGGCTCTTACAATCATTACTATTTGCTGAGTCCCCAAGCAGGATTCCAAGATCGTTCTCTTCCTTTGTGCAACTCTCAGGAATGTTTTATTCTTGGTAGCTCCCCTTGCCTAGAACCACTAGGATCATCAGAACAATTACCTGTGCCCCTTTCCACAAGTGCCATGTAGTAGAGATTGGTGTCCCCAGCAAGTCCCACCTCTACAATGTCTTTGGTGAAATGCAGCTCCTAGAAGTTACCACAGACAAGAAAAGAGTGAACTTCTGGCTCTTCTAGACAATTTTCCTGCCCTTCTGGTGGAGGGGCAGGAGCTGAAAGGTGAAGTGGGTTTGCAGTCCCCAGGACAGCAATGATGACCTGTCACTCCTCTACGTACCATGTAATCGTCATGGGAAATTGTCACCCACTTCACCAGGCGAGAGACAACCTTTGCAGGGAAGAGATACTGGCAATCACTGGTAACTGGTACAATGCCATGTTCTAAAAGATAGCAAGACAGGTGGTGTCACAGGTAGAAATCAGGTGCCACAGCTAGGTAACTAGCATCTTCTGGAGGACTCAGCTGGCCGTTCCAGCTGTCCAGGTACACCTGGGTACCCAGTAGGTGCCCAGGTCAACATGTGCCAGGAATGCAGGCACACCAATCTGACTTTCACCCAGTTCTATATGCTTGTGGCCCAATCTAGCACCAACAAAAACGGTGTTTTATCCTTAATGCAAATGATGGTCGGCAAAATAAAAACCTCCTGGCAGCTAGAACCAGTGACAGTGCCTCTGCAGCAGTGACTGTTAATTAGATCAAATAGCCAAGAGGGCTGTGTTTTCATAGCTGACCTTGATGGAGGAAATGACTGAAGTGTTCTGTGTCAGTTCCTCTAAGGTCTCGAGAAGAGCTGGAGAACACCTCCAGGGTAAATTCCTGC